TCCTTTCCAACCAGTAACAAGTGCATACCTTGACACATTAAGGAAAGCAATATCTATCTATGATCTCACACTAAATATCCAAGTGTTGGTAACTCCCTGCATATTCCACTACAATGAACCCACAAGAACTTCAAAGAACATAAACAAAATGGCTAAAAAATATTTTTTAATAATGTATACCTTAGCCTAATCAATGCTTTATTAGGAACATCGCTTAATTAGTACAGATAAGGGAAGCACCATTTCAGAATATTTGTTAGTATATTTTCTTTTATTGTTCTATTTAGGTACTTGTCATGAATCAAAGTGAAAATGAAGAACACAGTTCTGAACTCATGAATACACATTCCCTCTCTACTGATTATTTTAGCAGCTCTATTCTGCTAATTGCCACATCTGAGCTATTGCTACAGATGGACAAAAGTTATTCTGAGAAACTGTATCAAAAAACTTTGGTATTCAAAACTCTAAGCCTCAGAGGAACTGCTCACTATCTTTTTTATCCTCTCTCCTTCTCATTAATCAGAAGTCAATTCCTGTAGTATCAGGATAAGAACAAAACTTCAAAAGATTGATAATATGTTCTCAAAGAACACATTAAGTCAATTAAAATTACCTGGTTTTCCATAAGGGAAAAAAGGATCATGCTCACCCATTTATTTCCCACAACACATAACCATGTCATGACTTAAAAAGAGCCACTGTCCATTGTGTATTAATTATGTAATATTAAATGATGACTTTTTAAGTAGGTAAAAGGGGCTTTACTTTGTGCAACAGGGCTTTATATGCATTTTTTTAAATTTCACAGTGATTCAGTTTTTGCAGTGTCATAAAAGCAGCATATCAACTGATAAATATTAATGTATTGTATTAGAAGCAGCTAATCCAAATCAAATTAGTTTTCCCTCCTGACAGACAGGCAACCACTTTGGAAATGAATATTGCTGAATAATGGCTTGTGTCTTCCCAGCACTTCCCACCTTCCTGGCCTCCTGCTCTGCACTGAAATCTACACTAACTCTTCTATACATTACACATGATTAGAATCTTCTGTTCAAGCCAGATAAGAGGGAATAACTATCTAGCTAGGGAGGAAAAAAAGCAAAATCTCTGTTTGAGACATTGCAAATGAATGATTCCAAGATGAAGAACCACTTGAAATAGTTAAAAAGATGTAGAGTACTTCCTTCCCCTATGGATATCAACACATAATTCCAGTTATGCTGTGAGAAAACATTACAAATAATATGAAGAGAAAAAGACAATTAAACGTGGCTTTGTGATATCAAAGTACAAGTAAGCATACATTTTCAGAAATATAACAACTTGGAAAAAAAAAAAAACAGGAATGTCCAATTCCTGTCCATAAACTTCCTCATGGATCTCTTTCTGCTTCTAAAAGGTTTAATTTTATCAATTTTCCTGTTGAAACAGATCCTACTATTTCAAACTAATTCATTTATTTGGCAATTTTTTATCTATAATCCTACTTTCCAGGACGTAGTTGCCAATGTTGACATTATCTGGATGCATATCCACACATCTCCATCCTTCAGGACACTGATGAAAGCCTCGAGCACATGACAGATCCCTACTGGAAGATTTCACCCCCAATCACTGATGATTACACTTTGACACAGGCTTCCAATCAAATAGTTCTCCATAGAGCAGCAATTTCCTGCCATATGCTTCCCACCAACTCCCTAAAGGGAAATCTTTGGAGGCAAAGTTCTCTTAACATCAATACATCAATACCGTTTTTCCATTATGTATAAGGTGTGTTTTCCTGTCACCCAAGAAACATGAGACTTCTTTGACATTTTTGACATATCCATATTGGGGGTTAGTGTATTTTTTTATTTCCTCCCCCCTACATTTAGAAATAGCTAATGATTTTTTTAAAATATAGCTTCCAAATAATTCCTTGGGTTTTACAATATTTTTTCAGAAAGCACAATAAAAATATTAAACTTATTTCACTCATTCACTCACTTTTTTTTTACCAGGCAGATATGCCCTTCTCCAGTCTCCTGGGAGTTCCCAAACTTTGCTAGGAGACCCAGAAATCCAGGCAAGGTCACTTTCATCATGGACAGCCAATGTGAAAACGCTTTTTAGTGTTTCAGTATGAAACAACTCAGTTTATAAGAAAATTTTATCAGTAAACCTCAGACACACAAGGATAGGCTGAGCACTTTTAGGATAGATGTGATAGAGCACATCATTTTTTTTGTTCTTTAAAATGACAGCTTTTTGGTGATTCTAATTTAAATTAGTTGTTGGAAAGAATCAATAGCCCTCTGGATAAGAGTGACAAACAAACTGACACGGTCAGCTTGGGCTTCCAAAGCCATTCCTTCAGAAAGGCTTCTCTCCAATGCTTACAAGAGAAGGAAGCAGCAATTACAGAAAAGGATGGGTGCTTTTATACCCAAATGTTTGACTACAAGAGAGGAAACAGCAGATACACATGGTTGACTCCTAAAACTAACAGAAGGTCCCTGTGGAGTTTTGCTGGAACTGTGGCTGGGCTTTGTGCTGACACTTCTTGAGTAACCCAGAGATCAGGGTGATCAGTAAAATTACTAATTTTCCTCAAGGTGTTTGGCTATTCAGAGCAGCACAGACAAAAACCAAATGCAAAGAACAATTTTATAACACTACGCAAATAGTCAGAGGCTGGCAGATGAAATTCAGGGAGATAAAAGTGGCACACAAGTGAAAGTAATCCTACCTTTAAGCATAACAAGCTGGGATCTAAGCTGGTTAGAATTAATGGTGAGGGTTTTTCTCAACTATGATAAATATTTCCATTAAGATATTAGCTTAGTACTCAGCAAAAATAAAGGCATCCAAAACTGGAAAGAATTGTTGGGAATTTCTGTAAGAGATATACAGAATAAAAGGGCAAGCACTACATCGACACAACTCATTTTATACCTTATCAAAAACACAAGCTATTTTGACCTCCTTGCCTCAAAAAAAGAAAAAAAATCCCAAACATGTAATAGGTCTGAAAAACATCATGTTACTGTTTCACAAGGAATTATCACACACGGTAAGATTGTCCTGTCTGGAAAAGAGCTGAGGGAGGGATGTGATGATGGCAGTGTAAAGTCCAAAGCAGCACTGAGACACCAGGCATCAATGATTTATTGCTTCTTTCAGTACAAGGAACAAGAAATCCTAGCAAAAGCAGCCACAGTCTGGTGCAAAACCCAAGGAAAGGCAGTGGTTCCTCACAGCTGTGTTGGGCTGTAAGAGCCCAAGAGTGGGCACTGGCATTTTAAACAGGTCCAAAATAACTGGCTGAATTGAGTCCATTGAGTTATGGGGCACAAAGAAAGAGCAGCTGGATCAGAAGGATGACTCTTTGGGGACACCTCTGTATACTCAGCCTCTTCTGCCAATGTTTGGACACTGAGCTACCCAGTCTTGGTGTTATTGTGTTATAGAGCAAGGATGCATGTTAAATACACACACAGGGAAAAACACATTGTTTTCAGCAGTTTTGCTGTAACTAGAAAATAACAGCATTTGTCAATAACATATGACAAGAATGAACTCATAACTGAGTTACTAGTTTACTTTCCCCTCAAGATAAGGAAAATTAGCTTTTGGGAAAAAACCAAAACCAAAACATAAGCTCATTGGTGTGTGACAAAGTCTCTAAATACAACACTCAAATTCCAAATGTCAGTATAAGATATTAATGTGACACTTCCATAAGAAATACATGAGACTGTATTAGAATATTTCTTCTCCTAAGGGGACACCAACCATCACCATTCAAATATCTAACCAACAGAATTACTGAAGAACAGAACCTCCACCATGCATCTTTTGGGTAATATTGGTCCTAGTAGCATCCTAATGCATCTGCTATAAATAAATGAATAATCAGCAACTACTATCATCGGTCTGGATACAAAATCTATACAAGAAAATAATTAATTAATTCATTGGACTGAATTCCTGATGATAACCCAGTCAGTTTCCCACTGAAATAACTTGTAACAGACTTGCCAGCTCTGTAGATATTTAGGTTGATGACACACCTAAAAGGTGGAAAGTTTGCTGAGAAGCTCTAATTGATCACAAACTTGGAAGTAAATTAAAAATCTCAGTTGTTGCTGCCTGCCAGCAAAGAAGTTTGGATTTGGAATCTGGAAGTGAGAGAAACACAGGATTGTGTTTTTGTCTGGAGAAAGTTAACAGATGGTCTAAAAAGAAGCAGCTTTAAAATAAGACCAGAAGCCAAAAAGTGTGTGGAAAAAGAAAGGATAAATTTTTTGTCTATTCTGTGCTGCTGTTTCATATAGCTTTGTATAAATAGTTGTATATTTGATATAGCAAAGTCTCAACGTTTGACTTTACAGATTTATCCATCCAGATTAAAATATTTGCATCTTTTTATAACTTCAGGAAAATGTAACATCTTGAGTAGAAATATTTGAAATAGATATTTACAAGACATTAATTTTCTACCATGCAGGTCTCTGAAATGTTACTGAAAACTTACACTTTGTTCTGTAACGCACAAGCACAGAAAGCTGATTATGAGGATTTATCTCCTTTTAACTTTAAAACTGTCAAATCACTGTACAGCTTAAACAAAATATGCCTCTGGATGTTTATTTATACTTTTGAAAAAGTGGCTCATTTAGCTCCTCAGAAAGTGTTGCCAAGACAACATTTAGACAGTTGTTGCAAAAGAAACCCTAGAGAAAGTTTCAGAAATTAGAGAAAGGGTAACAACAATTATTTTCTCCATCTAAAATGTGTAAGAATGCTGCATGAAGGAAATTAGAACCTAACTATGTTTGGATTCTTATTGGAGTGCTTTCTTGCAGTTTAGCAATCAGAAGCAGATATACCAAGACATATAATTCTTGTGGCAAATATCAAACTTGTGCCAGCACTGGATACAGTACCAAAAGCAACACATCAAATGCTTGGTTGTAAATGACCACAAAGAAACTCTCCTAATTACTTACCTGATTTTCTTCATGGGAAACTCTCATCTGTTCTTTAAGAACTGACATTCTGGCTGCTTCTTCTTTCCTCAATACTCTCTCTTTCTTTAGCTCAGGACTCCAGAAAGTTTTGATGCTGTTCATAGAGGACCCCAGCTTGCTGTCCTTAATGTCTAGTTCTTTTCTGAGAAGGTCATTCTCCCTCTGTAGATCCTTCAGCTGAGCCTGCAGATCTAACATGGTGCTGTCCCTAACCTGTCTCAGCATGGAAGGAACCTGGTGGTGGTGGTGGTGTGAGGATGTGGTCAGCCCTCCGTGCTGGTCAGTGTAAGAAAGGACATCTGTATGTGACAGTCCAGCAGAAGCAATATTGGGGCTGCTCCCCATGGCTGTCACTCGGCCACCATACACAGCTCGATTTGTAGCCCTTCCAAGAGTCATTGTGCCCTTTGGGAAAGTAGTAGAAGCTACACCCTCGTGGTCACTCAGGTACATTGGTCCAGATGTTGCATAGGCTGCGTTAAGGGACTGGATGTTCTCCATGGATAACGTCTTCCCTGTCCCTCCTCCCCCGCTGCTGGTCCTCCTGTGACCCAGGCGAGGGGACCGTGGCAAGCGGGGGGACCTGGAGGGACTTCCTTCCAAGTTGCTGATTGTTCTTGCACTTCCATACATCTTTCTTCTACTTTGAGGTACTATTTAGTAAGAAACTAGTAACACTAAAGTTGAATATTAAATTTATAATTCCGGCTAGAAATACTGGCAGTTTCACTGCATTCTTCCAGTAGGCAAAATCTGGTTTTCCTCCAAAGACAGACCTGAAAAACAAAATTATAAAATTAAGTTTTCATTTTGGAAAATTAACTTACAAGGAATCACCATATATCAGAAAAACCAACTTCCCAGAGTAATAGCTTCAAAAATAAAACTCTACTATACATTTTATATTTAGGCTGATTAGTTAAAAATGCATTTTCAAACTAATTTTAATCAAAATAAAATTCCTAATTTCTTCCTTGCTCTGTCGAGCTAAAGCTTGTTAAACTAAGTTGGAATGAACAACATGGGCCCAGTAGCATACCTTAGCTGGTATGTTAATGGACTTCAAATGACTGACAATCTGAAATTTACATAAAGAAAAATATTTCTTGCTGATATTAAGAACTACTCTCTTAAAGCCTCCAGCATTCATTCCCAAGGCACACAAACCTAAAGTAATCTTGTTGATTTACTTTTTCAAGTTTTAGCATTTTAACATCATTGTCCAAATCTGTCCCTGTTTTCAGCTGTCATGCAGCATTCAAGAGATGACCCACAGCTTGCTCCACCACAAGAACTTCTGCAGCTTTTCTGCTGTCTCAACTTCAACACATTGACCAATAAAAAGAAAAAAAATCTCATTATGGTGACTAGGGAAATGCAACTGCTTATCCTAATTCTCAGGTACCAGCCATCCTCTGGCCAAATAACTCAAGCCCTCTGGTAAATCCATCCTTGTGTCTTTCTAGTTGCTGAAATAGTTCTGTAGCGCCTTCAAAGACAAACCTCCCATGAGACCAGAGCTAAAGATTATTTTCCTTCCACAGGCTCCTGGCACATCCTGAGCAAAAGCAACAACAAATCTTCTAAACTGATAGAATTCACCCCACTCTCTCACTCAATAAAAAAAGCCACAAGCAAAACAAAACAAACACCCCACAAAAACACGCTACACTCGGATCTGGGGAAAAAATAATACTGCTAGCAGGAACTGCCAGAGTCAATTGAAACTGCACACAATAAGATATTTTTAGATACAGCTGATATGATACATGGCCAGGTGGTGAGATTTAGTATAAACGTGTTGCTCCTCAAAAGCAGAGGTGCAGAATATTGCGTCTTAGATCATATCCACACTGTTCTTCCTTTTCATTGTACAGTCTGATAAACTAATAATTTATGTTTCTTGCTAAGAGTTACTTAATAACTTACTCAGCCTTCTGTCTATGTCTCTGAGATGTCTTTTTAGGTACTTGTTTTGCCTTTTAGAGCTTATTAGTTGTGGTCTTTGTTTTCTCAACTTGTGTGAAGTTTTGGAAGTTCTTATATCAGAGAACATTTTTGTCTTGCTTTGCACTTCAGTGCTTACCATTGAGCTCTACTGAAAAAAGGAGCCTCATTCCTTATCCAAAGGGAGGGTAACGTCTCACTGAACTTCTTTAATAATGTTTAAATGCTGATTGAACACTGTAGATTCTGTAAGCTTGTGAAAATTCTGAAAGCAACAGAAAAAAAAGTAGTAAAATACCACCTAAGTGCTATTATCTCCACAACATTTTCAATTTCTTTTACTTTCCCCCTAGAACTATTCTAATCAAAACAGAGATCTCTGTGTTGGAAACAAACACACTGATGATATGCTTGATTTTCATACTTTAATAGACTACACTAAGGACAGCTCACAGACCAAAAAGCTGAAAACCCTGACTTAAGAAAATTCTTAGAGTTTCTCCATTTTCATTTGCAGTTTGTTACCCTTCTACAAACCTGAATTATACAGGCTGGCTTTCCTGCAAACACCTCAGAAAAAGGCAAGCACATGGAAATATGCTTTTTAAACGTGTAGACTTCTTAAGGATAACACTGGGGCCTTCCTTTATGGCTGAGAGGTGTCAGACACAGTAGAAGCCATGCACCATTGCTTTATGAAAGAGGGGAGAAAAGCACCTACATTATTTTCTGCTCTTTACTTCTTATACATGGAGCCTTCCTAGCTTCAGGAAGATTTACTGTGTGTCTCAACACATCAGGAATTGAAGACATGAAGAAGCAATATCAGCCTCAGGACCTCAACAATTGCCACACAGATCATCATCTACTCCCTGGAGAAAAAGAGAGGAGAGTGCCCATCCCCTCACAGAATCAGCTGACAGAGCCATTCTCGTTGAACTTAGAGTGGACAGGTGAGATATATACAATTCTTTTTTGAAAGATTAATTTATTTTATATTGCCATTTTAATTGGACAAGGAAGAAAGAATACTAATAGACTCGAGTAATATTTTTTTACTCAAGCTGTAGGTGTTGCAGTAGCCTTGACAATGGAGTCACAAAGGTCATACCCCCTAAAGCCACCTCTGAGAAAAAAAGTCACCCAACTCCATTCAGCCTGGTAGGGACATACTGCAGACCCACTACACACATTTTCCTATAAGAATTGAGTTTTAAAATCCAAATCAGCTTAGTACTAGGAAAAAAAACCACACCAGATGCTGACCTGCTTGGCTCAATATTTTATTTTAAAGATATGCCTTTAATGTCCATGATGTAAAATTAACTGTTATAATCATGAGTTTCTTATTCTGCACTGCAACCAAAGCTGTATTTTCTATGGATCCTTTTAAGAGCCAGAAAATTAAGCATGCATTCTCAGCTGGAAGCAGGAGGGCAAGCACTAGACACTCTGCCCCATGCTCTGATCAGCCTTGCAAACCCCAGCAAACCTGATACCATTCATGTCAAAGCCCCTCCTGATACCTGTTCCAACTTCAACTCCCCTTATTTCCCACCTTCCTGCCCCACCTGATCGCCTGCACTCTGCACACAGCAGCACCATGGGTTCACATTACCCACATGAAGCCTGACAATTCATTTCATTTGTCTTTTGGCTTCCTATTTTTATAGAAAACTGGAGAGCATAGGATTCTAATATGATGCTACTAGAAGATCTCGCTCAAATTAGTTTCCAAATCCTTACTTCTACATTTAACATAATTACAGTGTTTCCTTGAAATACGGTATACACAGCTCCCTGTAAGTTCTGATTTTCACTGGCTACACACTCTAACATGCTGAGGGATGATTTAGGCTTTTAGTGTCCCCTCCTGTGGCCTGAATCACCTAGTCAGCAGGAAGTTTGGGTATCAGCCAAATACTTAATAGCTTTGCACAACTACTTGCCAATATTAACATTGAGCCAAAAGCTCAAACATTTGTAAAAGTACCAAAAGCTTGAAGGAAAGCTCTTCTTTAGAGTTAACCTCCCCAAACAATATGTGGTGACAGTTAAGTGCAGAAATTATCAATTCAATTCCCAATTGTCTAAAACGGTTTAGTACTATACAGCTCCCCACATATAAACCAAAAGAAGCAAAATAGAAAAAAAGAGGTGATGTAGAACACAATGCTGCTATTTTTTCTGCCAGGACTGCACTTTGAGGCACCACAAAAGGAAAACGATTCACAAAAAAAAAAAAATCTGTTCCATAAAAACATGCCCTAGCAAACAATAATGATTTCCTTATTTTGATAACATCTTTTAAATACTCTCATCACAACAAAAAAAATGTCTGTACACAGAAGACCAGGAGTACATGTGTATTAAAAGCAGTGACCAACAGTGAGAAATATTTCTAGAACTTTCTTTTGGTTTACCCAGGTTTTCTACTGCTTTCATAGTGGCACAGTATATTCTCACAGAGACTATCCTTTTCTTCACATGTTTTTTATTATCTGTGAGAATGTAAAAGAAAAAAAAAAAAAGGCAGCTGATACAAACTAGATACAGAGAACCCAAATCTGCTGTAGAGTATCCTTCCTTTCTTCATTAATCTGAGTGAGCAGCCTGGCATATCTTCTTTTAAGAAAGTAAAAAAACCAACCAAACAAAAAGATAAATACAATGCTCTTCATATGTTAGTAAGTGACCAGCATTGTTTCTTATTAAAAGGACAAAATACTCTCTTTTCCTCCTTACCAGACTGACCAAGTTACTTCTCCCCTGCCTTTTTTAATCCAAAAAAGAAAATAATCCATTTCTTCCTGCTACTCTTCTATTCCTTACAAGTTTGAAAAAGAAAGCACACATGACAACTTCAAAAGCAACATTTTCACTTAGGTTCCTTACAGCATCCTGAATCTGCATTTTTAATGTAAATTTAAGTTTTACTACAGTCTGCACAATAAATTTTTTTTTACTAGTTAACAGACATTAATTTATTCCCTCTCTTGTAGCTCGTTGTAAAAATTGCACATAGGTAGCTGTAAATAAAGTTACTTCCAAAGCCTGTTTTAATGTCTGTGAGCTGTTCCTGTCCCTGAACTCCCATCAGTGCTAAATGGAAGAAGTGGCATTTATCACCTCAGAGCAGCTCACCAGGCCTGCCTGCCTTCAGTGCTCTTTCACACAGAAGAAAATATGAAGGCAAAAGCAGGAGTGGCTGCTCAATATGCATCTAATGACACACAGAGAAAATAAAGCTGTCAGGCATTCTAATGCTGTCAGGCACAGTGACAGCAATGAATACTTGTCATGCAATCAGAAAACTGCACCAATTGAAATATTTGCTCAAAATGCCGTATTAAAAATCTTGAAAAGCAAGCAATTCTGACACCATTATCAGGATTGTCAATTATATTATTCTCAAATGTACTTAAGTGAAGGGTCAACAATACCTTTTTAACTCTTTTATGCAAGCTTCATGGGTTTAAAACAAGCCTAGTGTTCAAGAGAGGTGCATATCTTTCAAAGCATTTTACTCTATTACAACGTTTGAGACATTGTAATTGTTTTAAAACATCATACTAGTTAGAGATAGGCTTTAAATAATATAAGTAGTACTTGAACTCCACCAGTTGACACCTCCATAGTTTTTTAACTTCCAAGTTAGGTCTCTTTGTTGCTCAAACTCCAATGCTTAACCTTTTATCTCTAATATTAAAACAATTCTTTCCTGTAGTCCTGCATGTGAGAAGTCTTCCTGGGGTTTCTAAGATGTTTAACAGAGGTGAGAAATTCCAAGCTTGTTTCATTTTATTTTTCTGTTGTTGTGTAAAATATT